ATATGGAAAAACTATAGGGTGGCTTCCTGTTAATTATGAAAAGAAAAGAGGAAATGGAAAATAATGTGGGGACTGGTCAGATGAGGATTAGACCAGTTGGCCATATAAGGGAGATCAGCTCCCTGGTGCACACGTATGAGAAGACAGGCCATGTGTGAGAATGACTTGTTGGGGGTTTCAGTGACACCACTAACTAATCTCCACTTGATATGAATATGATATCATTGAACATGCTAATGTCGTGACACATGCTTGTTCATTATATAAATTTGAAAAGCATTTTGCGTGATTATTTGGGTTATGCGTTATTTATCATTATTCACTGAGTTTGTGAAACTTACATCTTTCATTTAAAATTTTTCCCAGGAGGTAAATATTTTATTGATCCAAATAAGCTCTGCATTCTTCTTCGCTGAGTTATAATAGTAATTTCTAGCTTTTGATAATGTTTAAATATACAGTATTGTGTGTAGGTATGAATCTGTGTCCGTTTAATGGGCTCCGTAGTTAGGGTGTTTGTTTTACATTTTATTATGTAAAATTAATAATGTGATAGTCAGTAAACTTATGGATTAATTTCTATTGTCTCTCTAAAAATATGAATGGATCAATTTGCCCATATTATGAATGACGTTAATTGTACAAAAAAAAGTACACAGACTTGAGCTATGAATTATTTGAAATATTGAAGCTGGGCCAAAGATTCAATTGATAGAACAATTTAATAACATCGAAATATGGCTTATTGTTTCTAGAGTTGGCTTAAAAGAAACGGATTTTTCGTAAATTAAGCTTACTACGGATCTCAGGGACCTTAAACTTACTTACGCTCTAGTGTCAGTCCGGCCCACAATTTTGGATCGTGACAAATAATTTATTAAGTCAATATATAAATAAAGTTAGGATAAATTAATTTATCACTAAAACTACTCTGAATTTTTATTTTTAAAAATTAAAAATCACATTTTATATTAGTCAAGGTTAACTCATTTATGAATAGTCAAATTGACAAACATGATTTAGATCTAAGAAATAAATATTTTGAGAATAAAATATATAATACTCCCTCCGTCCCATTTTATTTGGTTTGATAAAACATGCATATTAAAAATTTAGTCAACAAAAGTTATTTTGCCTTCTTTACCCTTAATAACTCATTAAGAGACTAAAAGCCTATTATTCAATGAACAATTATAAAGGTTATTACAGAAAAAATAATTATTTTTATGTCTAAATTTAAAAATCCTGCAAACATTTTGGAATATCCAAAAAAAGAAAATAACAAGCAAATAAAATAAAACGGAAGGAGTATATTATACATAAAAGAAATTAAATCATGAAAAATGAGTACACGTGTTCATAAAAGTTAGTTAATAAATAAATGTATAAATGTGGAGTCATGTTTTAATTTTAAACAAAGATAATCTAAAAGATGATGAAGCATAAATTTCAAAGTATGACATATTGTAGATCGTAAGCACATAATGAATAAATGTATATATACTTAGTTATATTTTAAACGAAAAATTATCTAAAAGATGATGAAGCAGTAGTTTTAAAGTAAGCACATGTATGCATTATTACTTAGGGAAGCATTTTGCGCTCCTCATAAAGTTGAGTTGATAAGCCTCGTCATGCATTCATGCGTTAATCTTATTATTACTACTGCCACACGAGTTGTAGAAATTGTTACTAATTCATTAAAAATTAGTAACTTAGGACCAATAAAAAAAAAACATCATCATCATCTTTTACTAAGTTATTACAGGGTCAGCATCACCTAACCTTAAAATGTCCAACCATGATCGTTGGTATGAGCCGAAGATTATGAGTTCAACACTTATCTCTACCTCTTATTTTTTAGGTTTAGGCGATGCATTAGCTGTTATAAAAGTTCAATATTTCTTCCCTACATCGATACTTCTTTTCAAATTAATATATTATGTATTATTAAATTAAGTATGAATGGTTCTGTAATCATTTAGAAATTTTAGGTAGATCGGTTTAATGAGAATATAGATAGTTATAAATAGTTATAAATAGTTTAAGAAGGAAACGAATAGTGAAATTAATATTTATACCGGATAAGGATAAGATACAGGTATATGTATCTAGATACTTGTTAGCCATTACTCGCTATATTAAAGAAGTTTAGTCATGGGTATCCACAACTGTTATACTCATTATTTGTAAAATATATATTTTAAATAAATTCAAGTTTGTATAATTTAAACTTTGCTATCCGTTATGGATTTAGAACGAGTACAGTAGTAAAACTTGAAATAAATTTGAAAACAGGTAATAGGAATTCCGAGAGTAAGCGCTATAGGTTGTTTTCAGTACTCCATCGCTTGATCGAATCAAGCCTTCGCAATTTCAAAATCCTCATGCCAAATAGATAGATTTGAGACAGGTACAAATAATAAAATTTTAAACAGATACGGCTATTGTAGCACAAAAGTTGCAATATCCCATATTCCCATTTCTACTTAAAATCAAATAACAGAATTACATTGAAATAAATTTTAAATAATGGTTAGAAAAAATTTTAATCAATATGCGTAAATGGGCAAAAACGATGTATTATAATAAGATTTGTGACATTCGATGATGTTAAAATTAAAATGTAGATGGAAAGCGGGATGCATTTGTACGGATTATCGGAGTATTTTACATGCTTTACATTCGCCCTTACAAGACTTTTCTGATTTTGATATTATTATTAAAGATTGTAAAACTCTTTTAATGTCTACATTTAATATTGATATTAAGTGAATTCGGAGACAAATAAATATTAATGATCATATGTTAGCTAGAGCGTTTTATAACCATGCTCATTTCCAAGTATGAAATTTTATGGATTTTAGTGGCGTTATGTTTACTCAAATTTTTGTCTGACCAATTAAAAAAACAGATCATACACCATGCAATTTAATTAAAAGTTAAAATATCTTACTCACAAATAGATATATTTAATAATTTAACTCCTGCATTTAACTTTTGTTGATGAAATAGATTACTCATAAATAGATATATTAAATCTTGCATTTAATATGAACTATCACGAAATTTTTTTAATTTTAAAAATTAAAAATGTTGCTATCAATATTGAATAAGTATATAAGTATTTTGTTTAAAAATTTGAGTTAATATAATTAATTTATTTATTTATTTATCTTAACTTTATTTATATTGATTAGAAGTTAAATTATTTATTTATAGCACATTTGCTCATTGCCATGCAAGTAGAAGCACTGAGGCACAAGCCCTTAACTAGGATTAACAAGTCCTGAACTTTGCTCACCCTGAAAGCTGGAACTAAAAAGAGGTAAAGAGGACTTTCAAGACGAGCAAACGTTCGAACATAGACCTATCAAAGTTTCGGAACAGCAGGCAAGGGTGAAGGCTAAAACACGAAAACGAAAACACTAATTTTGGTAAGCATTATAGAATGTAATGTAAACATAGAATGTGATGTAATCAATCTATCTATAGTGAAGATAGGGGAGAAATAACTAAATTTTTGATAACTTTTTTAATAAAATTTGAATATTCTAAAATAACCTTAATCGCTATAAATTAAAAAATTATATTTTATTAATTGATTGAATATCATTTATTAAAATTATTTTTTACATAAATACATATAAATAATTAAACATTTCAAACTTTTAAGGTTTATTTTTTTAAAATTTATTTTTTATAAATAAATACAATTGTGAGACATTTGAAAATTTTATATTTTATTTTTCCAAATCATTTTTTAAACATTTGATTCTGTTTAATTATTATGATTTAAAATATTTTATTTAGATTAGATATAAAAGACAAAGAATAATATGTTTTTTATAATATTTTTTTTTCTTTATGTTTGATTTGATGAGATATATTTGTAAAATTAATATTTTAAATAGAAAACATATAATTAAACCTTTCAAAATTGTTTAATTTTGTGTGTAAGATAACGAAAAAGTTAAAAATTTTATTTTTTTAAAAAATATATATAATATTTTATTATTATATCTATGTATTGATATATTTTGAAATGTATTTATTAGGTGATATTATAAAATTATACATATATAATTATAATGAATTTTAGATAAATAATGATATAAATTAAATTACACACTGCTGTTTTATTAATTAATTATTATATTCATATTAATTTCATGTGAAATTTTTTTAACATTATAAAAATCTAAATAGTATAAGACAAATTATAACCAATATCTAACATTAAAAAATAAAAACAAGTATACAAAATAAATAAAAGCGAACATTGACATAAAAAAAATTGAACGAGTATAGCCACCGAGTATCGCATATTATAAAAAGACTAGTATAGTTAAATGTATTTTTAATACAATGTCATGTAATAAAAATTCATTTAATTACATTTCATTAGGACTTACCAAACATAGCTTATTTTAGTTAATAAAAGTCCAAACTAACAATTTCATTTTTCAGCAATTCTTTAAATAAAGGGGTTAAGCCTGAATTATTACATAATAAGATTTACGAGATGAGAAATGAGAGGTTCATTTCAAGTGAAGAAAAAGAGAGGGAAAAAAAAAAAAAGAACAGATAAAAATAACAAAAGCATATTAACCATCACCAATGTCCAGTATATTGACATTCTTAGTAAGAAAAGACGTACATGCAACCATATCCAACTAATTAATCACCCTTTCCTAAATTGCCACTTTTCTGAGCTGAATTTAACTCCAGCAAGCAATCAAGAGATAACAAATCCAAAAGTTTCATTTTAAAAAAAAAAAAAAAAAAAAAAAAAAAAAAAAAAAAAAAAAAAAAAAGAAGATAACCAAAATTCCAAAAGTTTTTCATTTAAAAAAAAAAAAAAAAAAAAAAAAAAAAAAAAAAAAAAAAAAAACCATTTATTTAACAGTAGTAAATGCAAGAGGACATCAAACCTTGAACAGGGGCAAGGGCTTAGAAGGTGGAAAAAAAAAAAAAAAAAAAAAAAAAAAAAAAAAAAAAAAAAAAAAAAATTTTACAGTAGTAAATCAAAGGATCAAACCTTGAACAGGGGCAGGCTTAGAAGGTGGTTGCTCACTTTCACCAGATGCTTTTGGTGACTCAGATAGATGAACATGTGCAAATTCATCTACCATTTTCCGCTTTTGCTCCTCTTCAGCAACTCCTACTTTTTCTTTTGCCTTCTGGCCAACCTCCCCAGCTTTCTTTGCAACCCTGTTGAAAGCTCCTGTTACCCAAGCAGCCCCAGTAAAAACATAACGGTTCTTCATAATAGCAGATCCTGCAGTACTGACTTTTTGCTCAGCTGCTGCAAATGCTGTCTTAGTTTTCTCTGAAACCTGATATTTCTGATCCACTTCCCGGACTTTGTCACCCACAACAGTTGTGCCAGCACTAATCTTCTCAGTCAACCCTATTTTTTTGTCAAAAGAAGCAACTTTAGCTGAGGCTGATTTAGTCAATTGGTGCTTCTCATCAAGAGTCTTTGCTTTGTTCACTGCATCTTTGCCTAAGATATATCCTTTAGCAAGCATGCTACTGACTACATCCTCTGCCTTCCGGAAGGCAGATTCAGCACCGCCAGGAGTTGTGTTTTCTGTTGCCTGCAGAGATTTGGACATATTCAGGTTAACAACATTTTATCATGTAAACAATAACAGAAGTTCAATACAAAGTTCTTACAGAGGATGCTAAAGCTTCTGGTGGCAGCTGATAATCTGGATCCGGAGTTATGGTAACTGACAGATCTACTATTGTTGCTCCCTGGCATGAGAAATTGAAACTTCATCATAGATACTTACGGGAAAAAAGGGGCGGGGGGGTGAAGGAGATACTTGATTCTAAAGTTAAAGGTCAATTATTTAGTCACAGAGAAGAGATGACTATCATTGTTCTTCCCACTTTACAATTTCACATGCCTACTGAAAAGAATAGTTAGTTTTCAAATTTTGGTTGAGAGAACATGCCAGTATTCCAGCAAATTGTGTCTTACTGTTTAGAATCCACTTAAACTGGTGAAGGTCCACTTGTTAACGAAGTTAGTGCAACCTGAAGAGCAAAGGAAGAATAGTGCAAAGTTGCAACCCTAGACCTAAAAAAATCCAGTAGCCAGAGACTCTCGATAAAACAGGTAAACATACCATTATAACCAAAATTCAATATTAATCTGCATCTTTTTCACGACATACAACTATGATTTAGTGGATTCACAGGATATAAAAATGATCAAATGTAGTCATGCTTGTGTTATTTATTTTCAATGAAAAGCTTGAGCAGTTGTCTCAAGGAACTTTTGGAGTTATAGAACTTGAGGTTGGAAGGAAAATACATTTCAAGTGATTATGTTTCTAACAGAAGAAACACAATTGCAACCAGCAGCAATAACATGGCTTCAATAGTTGGCAATTATCACATAAATTTTTTACGTTTAATTACTTACTGAAATATTCAGCATAAACAAGATTCGCTATACATCTTGAGCTTTGGAGAATAAAAATGTTTTACATTGATTCAGCTTCGGTTACAAGAAACTTCACCATAAGGAGCAAAGTTTCTCCATCACTTGATAGAAGCCTAAAAAGACTAACATAGCAACATTTTGAAGACCATTTATCCCAATTTAATTGGGCAGAAACAGACTTTGTGGAAATTATTTCCCGGAAAAACAACCTACATTGTTGTATGGTTGAATTATTGAAAATCAGCCAGAAATTAGCTTTTAATGCTTAAAATATATTAAAAAATTGTTTTTTACAAAAAAATCTATGTAATTGAATACTGCGAAGAGAAAAAAAAAATACGCAAAAAGGTATATCATGGCAATCGTCAACAACCGTGGCAGCTGGTAGAAGATGACCAATTGCGGAAATTGGACTGATGGGTATGTTTTTATGTACTTCTAAAAATTCATTCACTATTCAGTAAGTTTTTCAGAGTTAGGAAAATGCTTCTTTTGAAAAAGAAACTAAGTCATCTCAAGTCCTTTTGACTAAGAAAATATTTTCCTTTAAGTTTCACAAGCATCACAAACAGCACAAATTACAGAAAATTTTTAAATTTTCCTGGCAAATATTTTATGTGAAACAAATGGAGTTGTGTTTTCCAAATAAAATAGTTGTATATACCAATTACCCTACACATCCATTATGTTATGGTTATGAAGCTACTATAATTAGGGTAGTTTTACTGCTGTATTTAAGATAGTTTTATTTAGTTATTCAGTGTTTATCATGTTATTATCAGTTTCTTTGTTAGTGGGTATTAGTGGGGTGGTCAAGCAAGTTATTTATTGTAATGGGTAGTTATTAGTGGGTAGCGGGTAGAATTAGCTTTGCATTCAGTTGTTTAGAAGGCTGTGATATCAGGAAAAATGTAAGCAGAATTTTATGAAAAGGTTTTGAGTTCCTAAAACTCAGAGATTATAGAATTCTCTCTTAACAAACTCTAGGAGATTGCAGATTCTCTCTAAGTCTGTCACCATTGATAGAAGGAAGAAAACTCCTTTTAAGACACCCATCAACCTGATCCCCCTAATTCAAAGACCCATAACTAGGTTTTATGAAAAGGTTTGGAGTTTGCCTAAACTCAGAGATTTATAGAATTCTCTTCTTAACCAAACTCTAGGAGATTGCAGATTTTCGTCTAGTCTGTCACCATTGATAGAAGGAAGAAAACTCCTTTTAAGACACCATCAACTGAATCCCTAATTCAAAGACGCCATAACTAGATCCAAAATTCGGGACCATAACAGCTTATCCTTAATAAGTCTGTCACCATTGATAGAAGGAAGAAAACTCCTTTTAAGACACCCATCAACCTGATCCCCCTAATTCAAAGACCCATAACTAGATCCAAATTCGGGACCATAACACTTATCCTTAAAAAAGCAGAGAAAGAGGGTGCTGTAACAAGAATTATACAAGTCCACTCAAGTCAACTATGCACTAATTCAGCTGCCTCGTCATGTAGGAGGTTAGGACTTTAAATCTCCAACTCCCTCTCACTTTTAAGAACTTTTCTAGAGGAAAAGAGTGCTAGTTGTCCCAGGCCTTCATTTATTTTTATGAATTGGAATCATAAATTGTGCTCCAAATCTTGAGATGGACCATGCTGGGTTACGGGCGCCTAAGAAGAAGAGTCTCTCTTACCACTCACATAGTCTACAATCCATTGTTGCCCAATTCTGCTTATTATGGTTCTAGGTCGATGCAAATTTTCACATGTAGAAAATTTACATCACTGTAGATACTGGAATAAGGCAATCAAATTCAAGGAAAATTTATTACTTGGGGCATCACCGATAATGATAAATGATGTCCTTGCTAACATAAATAAGAGGAAAGGCTAACTTCTTAATATGAGAAATCTTTAAATCAGAAAAGTCAAACTTCAATATAAGGACAAATGAGTGTTATTTATCACGTAGAAAGAAGTTAACCATGGACAAAGGATTATTATCAGGATACTGATTAAAATGCCATGTGAAGACATCATCAATAAGAATTCACAAGGCGTGAATACCAAATGAGCACAAGGAAAAATATAAAGTAGAAGATATAATCTAGTGATACCAAATGTAGTACGAATTTACTTACTGAAAGAAGAACAGCAGTTTCTGCTCCCTGTGAATCTTTGAAGGTAACATAGGCAGTTTGAGAATGTTCATTATCCCTGCACATGCATGTGTTATGATTGTTTTTCAAACAACAAAGACAGAAGAAACAGAGAAGAGTTGAAATAAAAGGGAAGGGGTATTAAGGAACACGAGAACTAGAAAAAAAAGAGAAAGGGAGATGCATGGTGAAACTAAAGAATGAAATACCTCTGCACTTCAACATATTCAATATCACCAGAAAAAGAAAAGAACTCCTTGAGGTCTCGCTCAGTTGCTCCTAAAGAAACATTACTAACTTTGACTGTTTTTACCTGCATGAAGGTTAAAAATAATACCCTTGAAAGTAGTGATAATGCCAAGTACAAGACATCTTTTAGAAAATTCACATGTAAGTAGTAGCACCCTCTTCAAAGTTACAATAGAAGAAAGGACATATGAACCGCAACATCGTGGTTGGGAATAATAATGACAGACACAAAATTTTCGACCTTCAAACAAGGTAAGGGAGGAACAAGAAAAGAGGAAAACACAAAAGAATATAAAAGGCTTTTCAGCTGTACTGCGAGGTTATCGAATGGGAAATTTTTTTTCTATCACGGATCCCATTGCACCTATGCTACTTCACATTTATTTTACCTGAGCATCAAGAATTATTAATATACAGGCAGGGGGATTGACACATATTCAGAAATTATGATTTGAAGAAAAGAAGCTTCACAGTAATCTTTGATCTACCAACAATATCTTGGCCTCACAACAAGATTGACACCACTTGCATTGAGAAAATCTGACTTCCGCTTTTATTGTAAGAAGAGAGAAATATCTTGATGAGTGCTATAATATTGTCCCCATGTGGATCAATTTATGTATTATCCTTTCTAACTTGTACATGATTGAAGACTTTATATGACATGCAAATAAGTAAAAGTCCACTGTAGTAATTACTAAAGATACTAGCAAGAAGGCTACAACTAGTCAAATCAGATTAATACACATATCAGACTTCAAAATGTATTTCTCTGCTAATAGAAAGAAAATTTGATTTTTTGCTGTCTTTTGATATCTCAAACGAAAATGAGATAATAAATCTTGAGTTTAATGCTCTTTAACATAATATTCAGGTCTGAGAAATTATAGTTTGCTGGTAGTCAAGGGACAAAACTAAGTGAAACAGAAAGAAAATGAATAGGAAGGGAATAGAATAGGAATACGAATTTCCAAGTGTGGGGTTCAAATAGAATGGGAAGAGTCCTCCTTTTTATTCAAAAAATAAAAAATGCCCCCTTTTCCAAAATACCAATTATGCCTTTATATTGGTCTTTCTATTGTTCCCCCCCTTCCTATAACTAAACAAAAAAATGGAATTAGAATTCCTATCCCATGCTAGACACAACATATTCCTATTTCATTCCATTCCAGCAAACGTAGGCTGAAAGCCCTTCATATAAAAAGAAAAAGGGAAAATCTCTAATTAATCCTTGACTTTTCTCAATTTGTCTATTTAGAATAAAAATTAACTTTTATGACATGATTAAGATAACTTTTTTTCCATTTTGAACCAATCAAACTCGATTTTTATTTAAAAAAAATTATTTGACATATTTTATAATGATAAAAAGTATTTGAGAAAATGTTTATATTTTCATATATACATATTTTATAAAAATATGTTTATATTTTTAATTATATTAGTTTTTTATTTTTATTTCTTTTTCCAATTTTGTTCATTGCTTAACAATATTTTTTATAAATAACTAACAAAATGTGCACAACTTGTGTGTATTCTTCTATTTTTGATTATAGGGTAGAATTGCAAATAAATTTTTAAATTAGGGAAAAAAAACACTAAAAAGAATAGTGCGATACAATTACAAGAAGTCACAAAGTTTGAGGTACTTTTAACCATTAAGCCTTCTAATTAAGTTAGGATGTATTTAAAATGGTTTAAAGTCATTTTTCTATCAGGATTTTATAATTAAGGCCTTAATCTAATGGATTATACACTTACAAGTAAGGCTGTAATGTTCAACTTCAAAGTAGATTATGAATATTTGAATAATAAAAGAACCAGTTCATTGGTAGCTTATTGGTAAAATTATGATCTATTAGTTTGACCTTTTCAACTTTCTCTTGTCAAATCTAGCCTAATTCAAGATTAAGGTTATTTTTGCTATATCAATCTTCTTCAAGTTCCTAAAGAATGCAACACGTTGAAGTGTGAACAAAGAGGAAACTTAAGGAAGAAGGCGGTGGCTATAAGTATACAAACAGGAGGCAGTAGGGACTAGATGATGTCGCAGGTAAAGGAAATCACTAGAAAGGACTTATGGAGGACAATGTATGAAGAAACTAAATCAAATGAATCCATGATTATAGGAACATTTAGCTGCCCCAATAAAAATCACCCACTCCATTTCTCTTTATGCATTATGATTGTTGTTATCAGAAAGCAACAGCAAAGAGAATTTTTTTTTTGAACAAGTGGTATGAATGTGTGGAGGCACAATAGACACACACAACAACACAATTGACAAACACAGAGGGAAATTCTCAACGCCAAAGATTGTGATAAGGATTGATGGCAGTTGGAGAAGGTAAATAGAAGTTGGGATAATGAATTTAATTTTCTTATTCTCATTGTGAATTTGAAAGCCAGATGTCAGGACTTCAGAGAAGTTTGGCTCAAGTCTATAAAAACAAACAGGTCAAACACTAAGCCTAAAAAGCTAGTGAAAATAAAGATTAGATGCAATTAAGCAAAGTTTTCAAATTCACACGTCTGCCTTGGACGTCATGTTTGCAGCAACTCTCCCATGACCCCTCGGATGCAATCAGAACACAAATCACCAACTCTTTCTTTTTTTTTTTTTTTTTTTTTTTTTAAATCCTCCGCTGTCTATACTCATCCTCATGTAAACACCTCCTCTTCAGCTGCATTGGGCCATCAGAACACAAATCACAACTCTTATCTTCTTATTTTTCTATTTCTTTTCACTCTTTTTTTTAAAAAATCCAAATGCACAAAATTTCCATACGTATATAATTCACCTTACTCTCAGCATCACGCGATAGCCAGCTCGCTGTGAACATTATCTCCATAACCAGTACAAAAGCAAAACGTTGATTTTTTTTTTTTTTTTTTTTTTTTTTAAAACCAAATTGACAAAATTCCAAGTATAGGATAGAATTGAATCAAAAAGAAAAAAGAAAACTTGAGGGTTTGCCAGGCCATTAAGCATTTGTTGTGGTACAATTGCAAGTTCAAAGATTCACGCCCAGCCTCTAAACTAAGGCAGAATGCTGTCGCACAAACTTTAAAATGTGTACTATTTATGCTAGATGATTTTATTCCTTATTTCTTTTATTGTTCATAAAACAATAATAACCAAAACATCAAATTTCATCAAAGCAAAATAATTATTACTGTATCCTATGCTAATAGGCATTAGTATTCACAAATAAAAGCAATTTCTTAAACTGCACCGCCTGAGAATAACAACCAAAAGATCCAATCCCAGCTAAATCCTAATTGATATTCAAATAAAAATGGAAAAACAAATACACAAACCACATATTATAAACTTCATAATGAAGTTATTTCTATCTTCAATCATTGCAATGTGTACCCACATTTTGTATCATTTATCAAAATTTGAATGACAGAACAGAAATTAATTATTTAAATTAAGATGCAAAATCTGACAAAAAGCATTGAAATGGTAACAAAGATCCCTAGGGGTTCTTTTACAAACTAAATTTGATTGTCATCTATTAAAGTCGAAATCAATTCGATAAGATAGCATCATTAAGCGACTAACCAACAATAAACCTATCAAACAAGAACGGATCTATGTCTATGAATGAATCTGAAACGGTCGATTTAAGCCCCAATCAAAATAAAAATTAAATAAACAGAAAGGGAAAGAGAAAGAAAGATGACTAACCGACATAGTGAGCTGCTTTGAAGAGAGAGAGAAGGATCGATTATGGAAAACTCCGATTCTTAGAATTTATATGGAGAGCTTTCTGAAATACACGCGTGGGCGAGAAGGAAACAGACGCCGGCCGTCGCGGCACGTTGTAGATAAATACTACCTCCGTATCCGTAATTAACCTTAAAAGATATTTTTACTTGGACAAGGGCATTACTAATAAATAAATTGTAATAAAGAGGTGGAGTACCCGAACACCCAAATTAGTTCCTGGACGTTGCATAAAAATACAATTGAGTCCTTATATTTCAATTGGGCTCAATTAGGTCCTCAATGTCAAAAAAATTGGGCCAATGATGTCATTAGAGAAATTAGTAAGCTGATATAAATGGATTCCGCACAATGGAATGCAAACTATATAGCCTCATTTAGGATAACAAAAATCTCAACTGATTCAATTCAATTTTAGTTAATTTATTTTGGTTTTTAATAATTCAGTTAGTTTTATTCGAGTTATGATAAAAAACAATGGAGAGCGGTTATTTGTATATATAGTTATGTCAGACATGTATTAAAAATAGGCATGGCCAATATTATGCTCGAATAGAACAAAACTGCTACATTGAAATTGGAAGTTTACGGATTTCTTTTTTTTATATAATGTATTAGGATTTCATTGAAAATTTCATATTAATATGAGTAATGCAGGGAGGACGTGACCATCTCGTGAAGATCAAACATAGAATAAAACTATTATAATTAAAATAATTATTGTTCACTAATCTAATAAGATATACTAATGAAAATTGAAAGGTGAATTTGAAAAATTAATAGATTTTCAAAGTGGCTGGCTAAACAAACTTGTTGAATCTTTTGTATGTGGCCTAATATCCATAAATTAATTGTTTATGACGAACACAGAAGATTTGAATCATTAAATCCAGTGGAGGAACAGGCCGCACTACCAGGTTCTAAAAGACAAAAATCATCATGAATTGTACACCCTAAATAAAACAAAAACTCCACATAAATCACAAACTCCACACAATATTGAGATAAACCACGAAAAATAGCAGAAACATAAATAACATAGATATATACCAAATAGACATAGATATGTAACTTATTTAATAAAAAAAATACAAAAATTTGCAACAAAATAAAAAATAATAGGGATGGGCTATCAAAAGGGACAAGAATCAACCCCAAGAATTAGCCCCTCTCTATGTCCACATACTTAGTTTTTGCGTTTCAGTAGAAAAAAGGAAAGAAAATTGTAATGAAGAAGGGAGAGAGAAAGCAGCATCCGTTCCTAATAGGTTTGCACGTAAGATATCTTTCAAGTTTAAGGATTTATTTAAGTTCAAAGGCAACAGAAAAATGCATCTGAACTGGCCCGAAACTAGCATTATGGGTAGTCTAGTCCGATTGGAATCCATCCAAAAAAATTTTTTTAAATTATTTAGCCAGATTTTTTTATTAATTATTCAATTTTTAATTTTCAGTCAAATAGAAAATTTTAATTTTATGGTTATTCAAAATAAAGATGGAATGAAAATTTTAATTAAATTATTTAATTTTTTATTCTTATTAAACTAGTATTTAAAAATGTGTTGCATGTGTTTACTTGTTGTAGTTACTATTTTCTAATAATTATAATTTTAAAATAATATAACCTTTAATAAATAATTACATTAATTAATTTTTACATAATTAGGCAAAATAAAAAGAACATTAATAAATATATAATATAATAATATCTTCTTCAAAATATAGAGATGTTAACAACATAAAGAATAATACACTAATGAATTAAATAAAATTTTAATAATGTAAATAAGTTTATATTGATAAAAATTGCATACCTAAATAATGTAACAAGTAGCAACTTGACAAACAAACCATAGCTATGAAAATAAAAATCCAAGATTTGATTGTGGGAAAAATATTCATAAAAATTAAAAATAAATTTGAGCCACCATAGATATCGAAATATCTAAGATCATTGTGGGGAAAGTCTGTATAGTATGGGAGTTGGTCAATGGCGTCCTCTAGAAGCTGGGTGGTTCAAGGTCAATTTTGACGCTGCTTGGGATGCGAACTAAGGTTTGTTGTTAGAAATGATAGACAGGACGATATGGGAGTTGGTGCTCGACTCTTGCGACAGCAATTACATCCAACTGAAGCTAAGGTAGAAGCGATTATTTTCGGAGTTCAAGCAGCGGTGGAGATGGGCCTGCAAATGTTTGTTCTTGAATTAGACTCTCAATTTGTCATGCAGCATCTCCAATGCATAAATTTCCCAATAATGAAATGGAAAATCACCTTCTGATCCTTGACTCGGTCTGTAGCTAAAGTTCAGATTTCTTTTGCAATTATGTTAGTAGAAACTACAATAAAGTAGCTCATGCATTAGGCAAATTTGCTCTCGTTAATGTAGTTTATGATAGACTTTGGATTAAGGAGGTTCCATCCTCTATCCAAGTTTTGATTGTGTCAGACCTTCCTATTTTGGTTTAATCGATTATTCTTTTTCTCAAAAAAAATAAAAAATCTAAGATTTTTATTCAATTTTTTTTCTTCTTTTTGTTATTGGATATTTCGTTCGTACACATGCCTCCTGAGTTATAATGAATTGCAAACAAAGTTTAAAAAGATCAAATCTTTGATAATTCTATCGTAAATGATTGAGTTGTGAAAACTTTTGGATAGGTGTCTTACATCTGAACTAAATGTTTTATGATTCAAATGTGATAACAAATATAAGCATTTTGAATGGAAAAAATAACTCTAAATTCAAATATCTCACATGTATTATGTGTATAAATGTACCAAATTCAACCAACATAAATATATTAAGTAACAAAGTAAAATTTGACCAATATTGCACTCCTTAGGAATAGACAAACAATTGTTTTCTTAATAATTTTTTAACTAGTCCAAGGCAAAAAGTTAAACTTTATAATTTAGGAGCCACACAAAAACAAAGTAATTTGATAAATAGAAGTAAATAACCACAACAAGTTCTCTCATGTTGATGATTATGTTAGATTAAAGGATAGTGTACGATTTAAAACCATTCATTAACTTAGTACTTTACTTAAAATAGAGTGTATCTGGTAAAGTAATTTAAAAATTTTTGTAGAAATGAGTAGTTCTTGAAAATTTCTATTCATAATTTCAACTTTAGTGATAGTAAATATTTAAAACATATATCAATATACATTTATGGTATCATCTTGGCAAGTCCATAACCCAACATTCATCAGGTATCAGAATTGCATATTGCCATTTCCTTACATAAACATTCATAACAATTCAGAGTTTACAAGCTATATACAACACAAGTCATTACAATTGTTGGATTGTATTGCATAATGTAACTACATTCAAATAAAGTTTTTATTCTAATCTATCTGTTATATTTCTAACTTTGATTTGCATAAACACACTCAAAAATAAAAAATTAATGAATTTTTTTTTGTCAAAAATAAGTAAATAAGTTTATAGTATAATTTTAATTAAATTAATTCCATCCGTAAAGTAATCTATTGGTAAAGAATACTCAAAAATAAAAATAAATAAAATCTACAGCCGCCCTCACCACCACCAAAGCTATCTCCAAAACCACCATCAGACTTTGGTATCTACAGCCGCCCCTCACCACCACAAAAGCTGATCTCCAAAACCACCATCAGGACTTTGGTCCAATCCTCTGCTTTTTCCAATCTCCCAATTATCCAATTTAAAAAAAAAAAATAAAAGGTAGTTTTCCTTTTTTACCTCACCAATTCGTTAAAGACAATTATAGCAACTTGACTTCACATTGAAATCAGTCCAATCCACCACCACTCTTACCAATCGCAGTAGAGAAGATTGAAAGTTCAAAAGTTTTTCATTTAGGACAACTAGTATTTCTCTCTTGTTATTTTTTTTCTTTATCCGATCACGATTAAATAAGCATGCGCATCACAACAACAGCTCTATAAAAAACTTTATTAAGTTTTATTATAAGCTAATTTTTTTTTCTTTTCCATCACATAATAAGGCATGCGCATCACAAACAACAGCTCTATAATAAAACTTTATTAAAGTTTTATTATAAGCTAATTCATGCATAACACCTTCATGCTTCTTAGCCATTTGTACATACTAAAAAGGCACTTCTCTTCCTAAATTGAAAGCCAAAGTTAGCAGTTACCCTTCTGTAAAGATCAGTTTAAACTAGATCTTGATTTATTTATTCGCCCTACTTTGAATGTCATTTGCCGACCGCAGAAGAAGCAAGATTGAGGAAAATGAAGAGACAGAAAATAAAGAGACGGGTAAGGAGAGAGGAGAGGATAGTGATGGTGAGTGATTGAGGATATTTTGGTAAAAAAAAACATCTCTCTCCTTTGAACATATTTTATTGCTTTGACTCACGGTTAAACATAGGAAAAGTGAATAAAGGACTAAAGTGTCTAACAGAATAATAATTTGGAGATACAATCATGTATTTTATAAAAAACAGATTCTGTCTAATATATTTTGAAGGGATGTAATAGCATTTTCCCTTCTTTTTAATCAATTCTCATATAAATAGTCATTTCAATCATTTGACAATAAATCATTTTGCAAACTATTTTTCAGTAAAGCAATCATTTTATTTGTCTCCTTCAAACTTAGAGTATCTTTTTGGTTTAATCATTTCTTGTTTCATCAATATACATTTTAAGACATGTTAATCAAATCATGTGCATGTATAAATAAACATTTAAACTTGTAAATCTTCTACTTAATGTTAAAAGCAAGGGTTTCAAAAAAAAGTATCATTTAAGAAATGGACCTTTTTCGACTCTTAAAACAATTCAAAACACAAATTGTGCACAAATCTCAATTTAGATCTTTTAATGAATTAGGTCAAGCAACCTCCTTAAATCACCCACCCTTCTTTAGTTTCTAGCTTAAAGTTGAAATATATATATTGACGTCTTTCAAAATCATTCGTGATACTATTATAACTATTTTTATAGTATAACTAATCGATAGCTCCATCGGCATTAATTTTGTTGTTTACCTAAGTAAAGAAAGTCCCGTATAGCTGTAACTATATCTTAACTATTTAAGCACCTTAATTTCTCATTTAACTATCATTTAGGCATTTTATCAAACATTTGGTGTGCATGACTTCAATGTCTATCTTTCTTAGTTTCCTTTACAATTTGGACTCCCAAAAAATATTGTTGTATTCATCATCCATCATTTAACAATTGCGAGTTTCAAATTCAATCAACTATTCATCATTTAACACATTAAAATACATCAAAGTTTACATCTTTTTTTTGAATATTTTATTCATTAGACTTCCATAACCATATTACAATAGCAATTTTAGTTCTAACATGATTTCTTCTAATCTCACTTAATTACTTACTTAGGATGTTTAATAACTCATGAAGCCAATTAATTCAAATTTAAATAATCTCTTTTCACTAGTCCTGCACATTGTAGAACTATCTCTGAGAAACTTTAGGTGTGTTTTCTTCAATTCATTCAAATTAAAGCCAATTCATAGTTAATACAACCTAAACTAACTAACAAACACTTTAAATCAAGTTGAATTCATTTATTCCATCAAAAACCATGATTTAACCAAAACTCTTCTTTGAAACCCTAACCAAATTCTTCATTGAATCAACTAAATAACTTAAGGATAGATGAAAACTAACTCATCTTTGATGATATCTAGTCAAAACCCTTTGATTTCAAGTATTAATTTCAAGAGATATCAACTTTTCTTCGTCTTCTCTTCTCTTCTTCTTAAGATTTGTCCTCTTCTCTCTCTTTCCTTTCTTTTTATTTTTCTTTCCTTTAGAGATTAAAAGGTCATGTGCAAGTCACCTTGACAACATTTTTCCCATTACCTACTTTAAGTCTTATTTATTCATGTTTTAACCTCACATTTGTTATTTATAAGTTGTCCTTTGATTCTAATTAAGTCCAAATTACTCATCAACACTTAATTAACCTTAGTTAGGTCTTAATTAAGTGTCTTAGATGATTTAACATTAAGGTGCTAGTTTAACGAGCTTCCATGCCAGCTTCTATTTGTCGTGAGTTAAACACACTTATCATTAAGTGTCTTTGGCATATAAACGACTGTTACTCCTGCATCAGTTTTTGTTATTCTTTTCTCTATTATTAACCTCCAATCACTACCTTTCATCTCTATAATCTTTTTCTTGAATCTTTGAGGTAGCTCAGGTTGTGAATTCTTTACTGTAACTTTTCTTTTCTTGCTTTCAGCTTTAGTTTCTTCTTCTCCTTCTCCTTTTCCTTCTTTTTTCTTTTGATGAGCTCTTTCAGAGTTTCTTTGTCTCTTGAAATCTATACTAAACCTTTTTCTTTTTCTGGAAAATCTGCTACCCTCTTTAAAGATTTTTCTTTAATCAACCTTTGAAGCTTTTCCTCTTTCTCTAATTTAATAGAAGCAACGTGTGCAACTAACACTAAAGTATCAAACTTTGATATGTCTCTAGCAATATCCACATTGTTAGCCTTCAAATCTTCAAGAGTTAAAAATTCACTTCCTTCGTTATTATCATTGTTCTCCCTCATTCTTTCTTCTTATTTAGAATCTAATATTCAAAAAAGAAACCTGTAGCAAGATTCAAACAAGAAAAAGAATTTCAAACCTTTATGCACGCACCTCTGTATAAGTGATGGCGCTTATCAACTTCCTATTCAAGTGAACCAGAATGTAAAATCAAGAGCTTTTATGAGTGACTGAATTTCACGCTTTTGAGGCAACAAGCGGTTTCTACAACCGAATCTACCTTTTTCAAATTTTTCCTACAACCGAATCTACTTTTTTCAAATTTTTCCTAAAAGATTAGTAAATCCTTGTATTAAAAGGCAATTGGCAAATCCTTATGTTGATAGGAGTAGGATTAAATTTTAATTTTTCCTAAATCAACTAGGATTAGGATTAGGCTATCAGCCATGACATTTGTTGCTTAGCTGAAAATTTTGAGAATGTTTCTTCTGCCTTCGTTAAGAGATGATGTAACTGGGGCTGCCCATGGTCTGGCAAAACAACCCCTATATAATTCTTTTTGTTTGAATCTGTCTGAGCAAGCTTCTTGGCTCAAAGATGTAGTATAATTTCCTTTGTAATGGTTTGTTATCAATAATTTATTATCTATATCTTTGTAAAAAAAAAAAAAAAAAAAAAAAAATGTAATGGTTTGGTTATCAATATTTATGTATTCTATTATTCTTTGTAAAAAAAAAAAAAAAAAAAAAAAAAAAAAAAAAAAAAAAAAAAAAAAGGGAATTTTATTTGATAACAGATTTTGAGTAGAGATGCATTGCGCAGTTGCTCCCTGCAGTCAAGTGCGGCTAGTTAAGCTAGTTCAAAATCTTGAAGTTAAATTGCACATGTGAAAATTTGGGATCAAATGAAGGTCCATCCTTGTGACATTGCATTATTATAGCTAGGACTAAAAAGATCAGTTACCCTGAAACAAAAGTACCATCGACTTCATAGGTTGAAAAGGCAAAGAGAGACGGCAATCTTTCATCTTTCTGGATTTGTACAGGAGGACTCTTAAAATTACAAGCATGATGCACTTGCAAATGGGCAACGGCAATTAACAAGCATCAATGCTAAGCTTCCAAAACTTAACATGACCTCACTTGTGTGGATAGTCTGTTCTTATCCATAGTCTTTTGACACAAATTACATAATTAGAAGACAAAAATAACAGACCAAACACAGAAAAGGAAACAAAAGCTTAATTATTATTGAATATAAATACACATCCAAGAACTGTCAAAAGGACAACCAATACAATAGTAGAAATTCTCTCCCTCCTCTGACATGTGCGAGGGACACCTTCCTTGAAGAAACAAACCATATTTAACAAATCTTATTGCACTTGGAGGCAAATATCGAGTTCAAGTATCATCAACTTGTGAGTGGAACACAAAGCTTGGGAATGTGGTAGTAATGTCTCTGCTCAAGGGGGAAATTAGGTTAATACTGATAAACAAAATGTGTTTTTGTGATGTCCATCAGAATTTCATGCTTAGCAGAAAAAACGTATGAGATTTGAACTAATACCTCAATAAGAGAAAAATGCATCAAATATTTGTACTCATTTAAGGTATTGAAGGGTCATATTTTTCAGAAGCGATGGATGTCGTAGAACAAGGCTTCTCCACTCTTCCTTGTCAATCTTGCCATCATGTTTTGTGTCAGCCTCTAGAGAAAAATGCATCAAATATTTGTACTCATTTAAGGTATTGAAGGGTCATATTTTTCAGAAGCGATGGATGTCGTAGAACAAGGCTTCTCCACTCTTCCTTGTCAATCTTGCCATCATGTTTTGTGTCAGCCTCTTCAAACGTCTGAAACAATATTTAACAAGGTTTCAGGGAAGAAACAGAATCCAACAACTATTCCTAAAAGTGTTGGAATCAACAAGGTTTTATGTTATCCCAAGTACCTTATCAATTATGCTTTCAATGACATCATCTGAAAGGTTCATACCAGATTCAGCACGAGTAGCAACTACCATTTGTTTAACCTATAAATCAATAAACAGAAAGTTAAAAAACTGAAAGTTCAATATAGAATGCCAGAGTAACAAAAATATATATATATATATATTGAACCAGTAGTACTGACCTCCTGTCTTTCAATGAAACCTTGTTGTTCAAGATCATACAGTTGAAAAGAAACTGCAACATTGCATTGCATTGTTAAATACAAGGCACCATAAAATAAAGCATTTAAACAAGAAAAATACATCAAATAATCTGTGGTGTTTGAATTAGATTTTATATGAATCTCTAACTTAAACATGATAAACGTATGGATTCTAGAAATAGTCAACAAACCTTCTATATGTTTGTGTGAGAAAAGTAGTTGGTGCTGGGCAACTGCAGGATTTAATTGGTCAGATGCCGCGAATAATTTTGCGGATGTGGTGCTGCAGATATTAAACGCCAGAAATGATGACAGGAGCTGCTCTTTTGCTATGCTAAGTTATTTCTTATGGTTTGACAGGAATAAGCGTATCTGGCAACAAGCTCAAGCTGATCCCTATAGTATTGTGGTTTCAGCAGCTAGCTTTCTTCGTGAATGGAGGAATGCTCAAAGGAAGGAACAGTAGAGGTCTAGTGTTGCCGCTATTTAGGGAGATTGCCGCTGGGTTTTGCCATCTATTGGTTGCTTCAAATGCAGCGTCCATGCAACAGTTAATATTTTTTAATCACTGCTTATCAAAATAAAAATTGAAATATTTTTAATTTTTAACTTTATTATTTACTTAATCAAAATGATGCAATTTTGAGAGTTGGTTTATTTAATTAATTCGGTTAAATTAACTTTTAACCGAATCTCTAATTGATCATTGAAAATCTATTTTTTTTTTACCAAATTTTTAACTGAACAATAATTCACATAATCAAATTGCAAAACCAAATATTCACCCCTAATTATTTATACTTTCTGACATTCAGTTGCATTGCAAGCACAGAAATGCACTAACGTAGAGCCTGATGCTGATGTATTTGAATCACTTACAGTATGATGACAAAGGAATTAATTGTTATATTGTTTGTATAAATTACGTGAATTTGCTTTATTTACATATATATGGATTAATAACAAATGTGTTTATTAAATTTTGATAAGTAAATGAAAAGTATTAAATAAATTAAAATAATTCAAAAATTATTATTATAGGTTCAAAAATCAAAATATCAATTAATCAATCTAATTTAACGAGTTATCATATAATCAATTACTCGGTGTTATTAGACTAAATAAATAAAATTTGAAAAATTAAAAATTCATATATTTGATTAATTCATATCAGTATTCGATAATGGAGTATAAATATCCGAGTTAATATAAACAATAAAATAAATATCCGAGTTAATATAAACAATAAAATTGGTAAAGGAGTAATGTGTATATCTAGATACAGCAACCATTGAATTATTCTAATTAGATTTTTAATTAAATTAAATTTTAATTAAATGACTTAATTAAACAATTAAAATTGATATATTTTTTTGTTTCAAACAAAAGTTCAAAACTAATTATTTTAATTGAATTCTTCATTCATTTTAGATACTTATCTATCCTAACAAATCCTTAAAATTTATATGTAAATGCTTTTCGTATTTCATATTTTATGACTTAAATGTAATATTTATTCGTTTACCTTTTATATGAGGTTTAATCAAATTAAAAATTTGTTTTAATTATGTTTAATTTATAAATTTTTACTAGTATTAACTAAATTTTATGTGGACATAATCAATTCGTTGAATTTGTTGCTCTCTACAAAAATAACCTTTACACAAAAATAAAAAAGAAAAGAAAAAAAAAGAAAAAAAACATATCTAATCTTTATCATCCTCATCCCCGTATCGACTGATACAAGATCCTGGACTATATTCTTCATCTTCTTTTCATTTCTTTGTTGCTCCTCTCTCAACCTTTACAAGAGCAAAGTGAAGCCTATTTTCAACTCTAAAAGACCAGACTTGAATTAGATCCTCGTGATGGAGTCCATTCTTTTTCTTAAGAGAATTCCAATGAGTTCTAAACACATAAGCTGAAGTTGTATTCCCATTTTGCTTTGGATAATCCCATTGCTTGAGTATCATATCACTAACATCAAGGCAAGGCTCAATAATCTTCACTTTTATTATTGTTTTTAAATCTCATCCCTTTCAGCTTCGTTCAAAAACTCACAAGGCAAGGCTCAATAATCTTCACTTTTATTATTGTTTTTAAATCTCATCCCTTTCAGCTTCGTTCAAAAACTCATATAAAATTTGATTCTTTGGCATTGATAAACGACTGTTACCATCTACTGCATCAGTTTTTGTTATTCTTTTCTCTATTAGTAACTTCCAATCACTCCTTTCATCTCTATAATCATTTTCTTGAATCTTTGAGGTAGTTCATGTTGTGAATTCTTTATTATAACTTTTCTTTTCTTGCTTTCAATTTTAGTTTCTGCTTCTCCTTCTCCTTCTCCTTTTTCTTCTTTTTGTCTTTTTGATGAGCTCCTTCAGAGTTTCTTTGTCTCTTGAAACCTGTACTGAACCCTTTTTCTTTTCCTGGAAAATATGCTACCCTCCTTAAAGATTTTTCTTTAATCAACCTTTGAAGCTTTTTCTCTTTCTCTAATTTAATAGAAGCAATGTGTGCAACTAACACTAAAGTATCAAACTTAGAGCTTGTTTCTTCCTTTCATAATTTAATAGCAGCAATGTGTGCAACTAAGCAGCTAAAGTATCAAACTTTGGAACAATGTCTCTAGCAATATCCACATGTTAGCCTTCAAGATCCTTCAAGAGTTAAAAATCCATTTCCTTGCATATATTATCAATTAATCCTCCCTCAATCTCGGTAGAAATCTAATATTGCAATAAAAAGAAACCTGTAAGGCAATGATTCAACGAAGAAAAAGGAATTCAAAACCTTTACTTGCCAACGTACCACTGTATAGAGTGCCAAAATAGGCAATGAGACACTTCATCAATTTCCTGGATTCAAGGTGAAACCAGGATGTAAAATCCAAGAGGCTTTTGTGGGGTGACCTGAATTTCACGCTTTTGAGCGCAACAAGCCGGTTTTTGTGCAACTTGAATCTCTACCTTTCCTCTATCTAAAGCTCTCTTCGTATATATATAGAAAACGAGTGAAAAAAATCCTAAAAGATTAGTAGATATGCTTATAGTTAAAGGCAATTGGCCAAATCCTTATGTTGAATAGACTAGCTGAACTAAATATGTAATTTTAAATTCCTTCTTTTATCCTAAAAATTCTCAATAAGGATTAGTCAGCTATTAGGGCTCCCTTCTGTCATGTCCTATTCAAATCTTCAAGAGTTAAAAATCCACTTTCTTCATTATTATCATTATCCTCCCTCATTCTGTAGAATCTAATATTCAAAAAAGAAACCTGTAGCAAGATTCAAACAAGAAAAAGAATTTCAAACCTTTATGCACGTACCACTGTATAAGTGCCAAAATAGGCAATGACACTTATCAATTTCCTATTCAAGTGAACCAGGATGTAAAATCAAGAGCTTTTGTGGGTGACTGAATTTCACGCTTTTGAGGCAACAAGCGGTTTGTGCAACTGAATCTACCTTTCTCTATCTAAAGCTCTCTCTATATATATAAACAGTGAAAAATCCTAAAAGATTAGTAAATGCTTATATTAAAAGGCAATTGGCAAATCCTTATGTTAATAGGACTAGAATTAAATTTTAATTTTTCCTAAATTAACTAGGATTAGGATTAGGCCCTTCTTCATCGTCTTCTCACTTAGGCTTCTCTCTCTGCTTCACAAACACAGCCACGGCCCAATAATTTCTTACTTATATGTATATGTATGTTTATTGGATGTATTGTATTTAGGGATTTGAAAAAACTTAAATTAACATGGACTCTCTAAATTTTAGTTATTTTCGATTGTTAAAATTCTGATAATGTGTGTACATTGTTGTGAAAGCTCTGGTTTAGCTTGTTATACTAATACAAGTTCAATATTAATAATATATTATTATTCATATTTAGTGTGATTTTTGCTATGGATGAGGGCTTTTCCTTCTGGGTTCTAAGGTATTTGTGGGTTTAGCTCATTACTGAAATGTAAGGCTATTTTTGTCATCTAGCCGTTAGCCCATTACTAAAATTTGAATTGCGTTAGATTAGGGTTTTGGATTTCAAATTTTTGGTTTCTGGCTCCATTTTAAGGGAGAGCTCCCTTCTGAGCTTTTGAGAGGGAAAGACAAAAAATCCCAATCTGCAGTTATAGATACTCTCTCTCGCTTTCTATATTTTTAGTTGTATATGCATGATCTGTGTCGTACAATTAAAATGCGAACGCCATCCATAAATCTCATCAGCACTCTGTTTGTTTTCTGAGAAAATTAAAGGAAAAATATTTATCATTTTCTCTAAGATACTGAAATAAATTTTTTGGTTGCTTGTACATTTTCATTTCCTTTCCTTTTTTTTTTCTTGATAAACTGAAGAAATAGAGTTCCAGTTTTTAACCTTTAGTATTATTTTTGGTGCTTGATAGTTCATTCTTGTTCTGTAACTTCAGTTTAATGAACTTCGAGCAACATTTAGTATATATTTGGTTCCAAATTGTGGTGAAACTATATATAGGGGCTAACCTGATGTTGTTTGTTGATAAAGATCAGTTTTTGTACAGGGGAAATAATCAGATGAACACTATAGTACATGGAACTCCCAAATCCTCTAGGAGTCGGTCGTTATTTTACCAAGATTTGGCAACAACTGCCTCTGCTCGTAAAGGGAAATTGTAAAGTCAAGGTCAAGCATAGAGAATTTTGGTGGTTCAGACAGTCGTGGAGCCGGGATTTCAACTTAGGGGGCGAAAGTATATACAATGAGACGTGAAACTAAGATTATGAAAAAATATCATAAAAAAAATGATATGCTTTAAGATTTCCTTAATGAATCATTTCCAATTGTTTTATGAAGAAAACAACTCCAATAATTTTTTTACAAATTGGACTTATTATAGTCAACAGTCAAATCATTGAATTAAATGAGATTTTTAATTTGGTCTTAAATTCTAAATATTGCTGATGAGTAATGAAAAGTTTGATCAATGTATAATTAGTCCAAACAATAATAACAAAATTAAGAAATTAAAAAAGATGAGTGAGAGGAAATTCTCTAATGGGGATAACC